TCTGCAAAGCAGAAATGGAACATAAAGAAAACATGTGATAATACCCTAAATACTTTTAAATAGTCTTTGTTGTAAGTTTAGATTTCTTTTTTGTTTCAGGTAGAAATCCTATAACAGGACAGCAGGCAAAATCCACCTGCACAAAATTTCCCTCTCGTTTTTCCGTGGGAAGGGATGTGTCTGCTCAGGCTTTTCAACATTCAAGTGAGAGGCACAGGTAAAAAGGACTGTGCTCCTCCTGCTGACAGTGCCATTCTCTAGCACAAGTACCCAAGCCCTATACAATGGGGCCATGTTTTTTTCAGAAAATATTATATTTCACATATAACAAACAACAACAAAGTAATTATAACTAAATTGTTCAGCTTAGTATTTAATTAAAATATATTTTATAAAGCAATGACTTCAGTTACTGACTGATCATTAGGTCAAGCTCACTATATACCAAATTTAAATGCATCCAAACTGCTACAAACAGAGTTTATGGCAGCTGTGCTTTTGTCTGGAGATGTATGTGACTTCTAGTATTTGTGTTTCTGTAAAAGAAAAAACTCTAATGATTCCAGGACTTGTTAAAAATCTCTGTCAAAAAAAAAAACCCTCATTGACGAGAGATTGTAATTGAATAAGGCATCTCAGAGACATTATTAACTCCAGCCCTACTCTTCGGTGAATGACCTTTTCAAGCACCCAGAGCCCTGAAGACCCCTGTGTGAAACCAGAGGTGTGACTACAGCCTGCACTGCTCCATCCTTTTTGCAGTGAGGCAGGGTGAGGAGAGCACAGAAGCTGTGTACTGGAGACACCAGCAACAGCTGCTGCAGTGTGCTTTGGATGGTGAACATCTCAACACAGTGTATCCTCCTAGAACTGTGTTTTGCCTGGATACTTCAATGGAGCTTTGAGAGGACAATGCTGTAGCAAATGAGAAAAACGTCACTCATCAATCACAAGATGAAAATACTTCACTATGTCAGAATACATAAATTACTTCACAAAAGACTTCTTAACTTTCTCCTTTCATTTTTGCTCCTTTTTGTTCTCAACCATATTTGCCACGTGCAATACCACAAACTCAGATTTGACCAGCAAAATTCCCCTCTGAAGGAAAAATTGCTCAATTTACACAGCCAAATCAAGTTTGAAGTGGTTTATTAACTTACTAACAACACATAATTACAGTGATTGTTGAAGTATGCATTCAAGATCAAAATCATTGCAAAGAGTAACATAAAATACTAGAAAACACGAATTTTTACATATCTTTCTAAAGCACCCCAGAAGTGATAAATCCCTCCTCCCCAGGTACCAGCACACCTGCCCCTCCTGGACACAAGGGTTTCCCAATGTGCTGGTCTCTGCACCTGGCCCTCCATTATTTTCTTGGAGAATCCCCAGTAACCTGTCCCTGTTTTCTTGTGCTGGAGTGCCCAGCACTGGACACATCACCCAGATCTGTCTCATCAGGCTGAGGAGCAGGACTATCTCCCTCGACCTCCTGGCAATGCTCTGCCTAATGTGACCCAAGAGGCTGCTGCCTTTCTTCAAAGTAAAAATGACAAAATTTTAGTGATGTTTAAAAATATTTGGTGGGTTTGGACAGCACTAGCCCAAAGGAAAAGCTGCCCCTAAGCATCTATAAACAAATATGAAAGCTTTTTCAGACTGTTTGTCTACATTGTAGTTTGTGCCCCTACAAGAAGGCTGAAGAGGAACTTTTTGCAAGAGAATGTAGTGACAGGACTATAGGGAATGGCTTTAAGCTGAAAGAGGTTGGTTTAAATTAAATTTTAGGAAGAAATTCTTCACTATGAGAGTGGTAAGGTTGTCCAGTGTTGGAAGGTATGGATTAAACTGTCAAGGAAGTCTGTAAATCAATCAAGTGATCTTGCAGCTTGAGTGAACAGCAGGCCAGTGATTCTCCAGCATGGACCAAGTTTAAAGGTGCCTGAATCTTCTTTATGTACCTTTGCCCAGGTGCTGCTTCCAGGGTCTCCCCAATAGCAAGGGAACAGGAATAAACCGACTCTGCATTCATACAGTGACTCTGTGTTTGTCCCACCTGCCTGCTTGTGTTGACACACACACCTAGAGAAGCTGTGGATGCCCCACCCCGGGAAGTGCTCAAGGCCAGACTGGATGGGACTTTGAGCAACCTGGTCAAGTGGAAAGTGTCCCTGCCTACACCAAGGGAGTTGGAGTTATTTGATCTTTAAGATCCTTTTCTACTCAAACTGTTCCATATGTTTCTATAATTTTCACTGTTACAGATGCTTGTGCTAAGGAATCAAGATAATCCAGGGCTTCTTTCTATGTGCAGCAGCTACAACCCTTGATGTCAGTTTATGAAAATACTTGCTGTTTAGACCTAAAATACTCAATTTTCAGCCAATGCTACCAATCATGTCTGCCAAGTCTGCTGCGGGGTGGCAGAACAGAAGTGAGGACAAAAGGTAGCTTCTCATCTTTAGTGTGACATTCTAAACATAGCAAAGTTAGATCCTTAATTTGGTGCCTTAGTGGTGGCTGAGCTATTTCCCAAATCTGTGGTAGCACGTACATGGTGTAGCTTAGTTTTTTTTAGAGTTGTGATGTCCTGTACTGCTTGTTTCTCAGTATGAATGCTCTGGTCCTTCTGTCTGTAAGAGCTGAAAGCAAAACTGGCCTTCCTCTGTAACATGATTTTCTAGTCTCAGCCAATGACATGATAGATAACCGTTCTGTATAAACAACATGATTGACAATCACTGCTTGGGAGACAACTTAAAAGGTCTGAAAAGAGAGGCCAAAGCTACTACTTGATAAAGCCTGAGCCATATTTCCCCTATAGGCATTCTAGGAAAGTATCTCTGAAGATGGTAGAAGGAGTGAATCAACTAATACATTCCAGAATATTTCCCCCATTCTTTCGAGTCTGTCATAAAAAGCCCAGGATGCAATAAAGCAGCCTTTCCCTAAAGAGAATCAATCAGCTATCTAACTGCATTTCCTTTCTCAAACACAGATCAGATGCTCTACAAGACAGCACAAAAGACATTACAAAACAGCCTTCCCACAATGAAAGCTTCTTCTTAATTCTCTATAATTAGAATGACTTTTGAATGAGAAACAGCCTGTACAATTTGTGCAGCCGGAGAGACTTCCTGCTCCAAAGAGCTATGAAATAATAACCTAGAGTGGGCTGCTCCAGACCTTCCCCTGCAGAATTAATTTTGTCTCTTCGACATCACTGGGAGTTTTGTGGTGGATTCATAGAGTATCTGGGGAGAGGGGAACACTATGATAACACAGTTGCTCTCTGTTTACCACAGACCATGAGGATGACCTACAAATTTTCACACCTAGGCAATTTCTGGTGGTGTCCAGCGTTTATCTTCCTTCTGACCCCAGTGACAGATGTGTGTGCTGCATTGGTGCCAAATCAAAATGCTGACTGATGCCAGCTGACAGAAGTGTCATGAAAAATACTGCTCAGTTTGCATCAAGGTGCCTTGAAAATCTTGGTTACTGTATGATGCTTACACCATTATTTACAGACAGAAAAACACACTTTTGTTTCAAAGCAAGTATTATTCAATGTTTATTCTAAGCAGGTTATTTCACCCATTCATATATGCTCAAATGCACTTTAAGCCTTCTATGTACATAAATACATAAAGCTTAATAATCCACAGTTAATAGATGTCTCTCTTTAGTGCTTATATTGCCCAAAAGAAATGTGAAATGTGAGATATTTGTGAAATTTTAAATTTAACCTCCTAGCTGAGTTATATGCATTCTATGGCAGTGTCATAGACTAATGAAATTATATTAAAGCTTTATTTGCTAAGAACGGTATTGGTCTACTGGAGAGGTAGTGGGAAATTGGACCGAAAATATTTTTTATTATTTTAGGTTTTTACTTTGATGACTACATAAAGTAAGCATTCAGTCCAACAAATGCTCATTTTTCCTTTGAAATGAAATATTTTAATGAAGCATTTTTCTAATAATGAATCAGTGAAGACAATTTAAAAAGTCTGGTTCACTAGGAATGCCTACAATTTTAATGGAAGACAGAGGAATCAATAGCTTGTTATGTTTTATAATTTCTGTTTCTCCTGCTATCCTGCTAATAGTGACTTTACTTGACCACAAAAACTGCTTAACTACACAAATAAGGCATGGGAATGAAAACACATAGTGAAGGCATAATTCAAAATAAGTTTGTAAATTACTTCTGTACTGCAAAGGCTGTATTAATTCCTGCAACTTCTGAAGCAACTACAGAGAATGCTCTATATTATGGCACTTATTTCACGACTGTTCTGTACTTTGCTATAGATCTTGCATCTCTTTGTTACTTCCACCTATCTCCCAGCACCTATTAGATATCTGGTAGCCCTTTGCTTCCCTTCAAATGAGGAAATTCGAAACCCACCCCTCCTCCATCCCCCCAACCCTTACACTACCCCTTTTTTCATGTAAATAGGGTAGAAGATGGGGATAAGAAATAGGATAAAGATTAGGCTTGTTATAGGAAGGTCATCATAAATTTATTAAATATTTCATTTTCTTAGACTTCCCTTTTCAGTTTTCCTTAAAAGACTTTGACTGTTGTTCTTCAAGTACAAATACAAAAACTAGATATTTAAATTCAAAACACTGTGGCAATTTTCACCAAGACTTTATTATAATACAGTAGTAGGGATTTAGATTAGACAAATGCTTGCATCGTTTTACTTTCGTGGATCCATTATTTCCCATCTCACCTAAAGCAATCCAGTTCTGAAAGCAGGTTTTAGAGTTCCTGGAGAGATTCCATGTTATGAATTCTGCCTTTTGTATACAATAGATATTTCAGTCTGTCCAAATAAGTAAAACTCCACCTGGAAAAGCAAATACACTGTGTGGCAAAAAATAAAAAAAGAGATACTTAATACTAAATTTCTAAAGTAGTCTATGTGCTATACAAGGTTAAGTAACTTTGAAGTCAAAATCAAAAATCACCACACCCAGAGTCAAAACCAAAAATCATCTGCACCACTGCTCCTTGTACTTGCTCTCTCTCTGCTTTTTAACCTCAACATGTCCATGACGCTGCGTGCGTACACGTCTCGCAAATTAACATTGATGTTTGAATCGCTGGATGAGTTCTTCATGAGTTTCTTTAAAGCTTCACGCTGCCGAAGAGCAGCTTCTTTTATCTTCAGTGTAAAGTAACAGGCAGAAAAACGGTCATTTATTATAGCTATTGGCAAAGCCAAAACCAGTATTCCTGATAGTATACACATAAAGGCTACTACCTTACCAATGGTAGTGTCTGGTCTAATGTCACCGTAACCAACTGTTGTCATGGAAGTTGTTGCCCACCACCAAGCACCAGGTACACTTGTGAAAGTTGTGCCTGGCACACCTTGCTCAACAAAGTACTCCACAGTGGAAAATATAGAGATTCCTACAGAGAGGAAAAGAAGCAGAAGGCCAACCTCCTCATAGCACTGAGCAATAGTCATCCCAAGAGACCGCAAGCCTGAAAGACAAGAAATGCTGTCAGTAGGTTGATTCATGTAGCTGTGTTCATATCTTTGCAAAACATCTCTATTTAAAGGCTGATGGCTTTATGTTTTCTTTGAATGCTGGTGAACATATCTCGATAATCACAGACTCGGTAAGATTGGAAAAGACCTCCAAAATCATTGAGTCCAACCTTTAACTGAACACCAGCTTGTCAGCTGAACCATAGCACTAAGTGACACATGCAGTTGTTTCATGAACACTTCCAGGATTTTGCCTCTATCCTGCCTCCTGAGTAGCCCATTTCAATGCTTAACCACCCCTTCCATTAAGAAATTCTTGATGTCCAACCTGAACCTCTCTTGCACAGCCTTAGGCTGTTTGCTCTTTTCCTATTGCTTGATGCCTGGGAGGAAAGGCTGACCCCACCTGGCTACACCCTCCTTTCAGGTAGTTGTAGAGAGCAATAAGGTTCCCCCTGAGCCTCCTTTTCTCCAGGCTGAACAACCCTAACTCCCTCAGCCACTCCTCATGATTTACTCTCAGTTCTCCACCAGTTTTGTTGCCCTCCATGCTCCAGCACTTCAATGTCTTTCTTGTAGTGAGAGGTAAAGACCGGCACACAGAATTTGAGGCACAGCTTCCCAGTGCTGAGTACAGGGTAACAAATAGTTTCCCTAGTCCATTTGGCCACACTAACCAGGCCATGATGTCACTGGCCTTTGTGGACACTTGGGCACAGCTGGCTCATCACACCCAGGTCCTTTTCCACTGGGCAGCTTTCCAGCCACTCTTCCCTCAGCCTGTTGCACTGCAACAGGGGTTGTTGTGACACAGATGCAGAGCCCAGCACTTGGCTTTAATGAACTTCATGCTGTTGGTCTCAGCCCATCTATTCCAGCCTGTCCAGATTCTTTTGCAGAACCATCCTATACCGTCCAGTAGATCAATTCTCCCACCCAACTAAGTGTCATCTAAACAAAACTGGCCCCAATACTGAGCCTTGGGGACCCCATTAGTCACCAACTGGATGTGGCACCATTCACTAACACTCCCCAGGGCAGTCCTCCAGCCCGTTTTTACCCCAGCAAAGAGTGCATCTGTTCAGGCCATGGGGCTCCAGTTTCTCCAGGAGAATGCTGCGGGAGGCAGTGTCAAACACCTTACTGCAGGCCAGGTAGACAACATTCATAATATTTCCCTCATCCACTAAGCAGGTGATGTAGCCAGAAAAGGTCAGGATGATCAAGCCTTGGCTGAACTGTCCTTTCCTAAATCCAGAGTGGCTGGGCCTGCTCCCCTGGTTGTCCTGTACAAGCCATGTGATCACACCCAAGATCATCTGTTCCATAATCTTCCCCAGCACCAAGATGAGGGCTGTAGTTCACTGGATTCTCCTTCTGGCCCTTCTGTAGATGGGCATTACATTTGCTATCTTCCAGTTACCTGGGACCTTCCTGGTTAACAAAGGCTGATCATAAATGATGCCAAGTAGCTTGACAAGCTTTTCCACCAGCTCCCTCATCACCCTAGGATAAATCCCATGTGGCCCCATGGACCTGTGAGTGTCTAAGTGGCACAGCAGGTGACTAATGCTCTTTGATTGTAGGCAGTCCATATTGCTTCCCATCCCTGGCTACCAGCTCAGGGGGCTGGTTGCCATGAGGATATCCACTCTCTGTTAAACAATGAGACAAGGAACATACTAAGTACCCCAGCCTTCTCCTCATCCTTGGTGATAATGTTCCCCCACCCCATCCAATGAAGGATAGAGATTTTCCTTGGCCCTCCTTTCATTGGTAATATATTTATAAACCAACTTTTTATTACCTTTCACAGTGGTGGCCAGATTGAGTTCTAGCTGAACTTTTGCTTTTCTGATTTTCTCTCTACATGACCTAATGAAATCTTTGTACTCCTCCCGAGTTTTCCTCTCCTTCTTCCAAAGGTCATAAACTCTCTTTTCTTCTCTGAATTCTGGCAGAAGGTCCCTGCTCATCCAGGCTGCTCCTCTTCCTCCCTGGCTTGTCTTTAGACACATAGGTACAGCCTGCTCCTGAGCCTTTCAGATTTCTTTCTAAAACTATGTCCAGCCATTCTGGAGCCCTGTGTTTTTAAGGGCTGTTTCCCAAGGGACTCTCTGAACCAGTGTCCTGAACAGGCCAAATCCTGCCCTCTGGAAATCCATGTGAGAGGTTTTGTTAACCTCTTTCCTCACTTCACCATGAATTGAAAACTCTCTCATTTCATGGTGACCATGCTCATGATGGCCTCTGACCACCACATCTCTCATCAGCACTTCTGCTGGTCTAATGAGGCACTGACCCTGGTAGGATAAAAGAAGTGCTGTTCTAAACAGAAGCTGGGAAAAAGTGATTTACAGAAATAGATCACAGCGTCAGACTGAACATCTGACATCATCTCTATTCTCTTAATACAGAGCATAGGAATTCTCCTCATTAGTTATCATCTGAACTATGTACACATGTAATTTAGGCAAACTAAATTATCTTGATTTATTAATTGGCTGTAAAAGAAGATCTAACACCACTCTAAACTACTTAAAAACACACTAAAAAGCACCTGCTTTAAACTTGGAGACTGAATGTGCCAAGCCTCTGTTTTCCAGCCACTGTCCTATTTTTCGCTTGGACCAAGGAGCCCTTAGTTACCAAATTCGTGTTGCTATGCGAGTGCTTAGACCCCAGTTCAGTTCACTCAATAACTTTTTCTTTAAGGACTGTTTTCAATCCTTTTAGAATTGTCACAGACTCTCTTTGACCCATCTTTCCCACCTCCCCCCTCACAAAGCCCTATTATCTTGTATCTGTAGATATCAAAACAAATACAGTTTTCCAGTAACAGCTGCACTTGTGCCAAACTCGAGATAACAAAATTCTCTCAATGCAAGCATGGAATCTTGTCAATTGACAAGATGCATCACTGCTTTTGCTGATGAGCTGCACAGGGAATTCGGGATCACCCTCTACACCCCCTATATTCCTGTTAGAACTACTGCTTCAAGGCTAGACTGCCCCACAAAAACAAGCAGGAAACTAAATTTCAAAAAAGTGCAATGGATAAATATTGCACACATAAAAAAAGAAGGAAAATAACAGGGCAACAATTCAGCTGAAACACATAGGAGACAAATTATCTTTTGAATCACTTTGGATTAGTTTTTAATACTGTTCTTTAAAAATGTGGATGTTTTCTCTAATAAATGAGAAAAACATAATGCTTATGAATTACCCTTCATGGGCATACTTCTCACTAAACTAGTGTTTGCAAAACAGCTTACTGAAGCTCTGCCTCTGCTTGCAGACTTCATCATATGCTCGTTAGTGTTATAAGCAATTTGACTTTTCCACAGTCTCAAAGTACAAGATGTTAACATTTCTTGCTTTTGGCTCTTTCTTTTCCCCCGCAGGTCTAATGGGTTTTAAAAGTTTTGTTTATATACAGCAAAGACTGGAAGTACACAGCAGAGTTGGAGGCAATGTTGGGGTTTTCTTCCAATGCTATCTACTATCAACTCCAGTTAAGAACTTACCAATACTGAGGTCTTATATTACTAAAACTATGATCTGTAGAAGGTTTGTTACAATGATATAGATTAAATCTTTAACACTAGGAGAATAAGATATATCAGTGCAATCTTTTCTCTGACTGCCTTCACATTTTGGAAACATTAATATTAGCAGTGCAAAAGCTCTGTGAGATAATTGCAAGGACAGATCAAATTCTCATCTTCCTAGGAAGCTACTATGTGCCCTTGCCCTGTAAAACTTCCTACTGAACAAGGCAGAAGAGTCAAGTCCTTTCAGGTGAGCTAGGAAGAAGGTACAGTTTAAAATTATTCCTGTAGCACTTCTTTTCAAAGCATAAATGAATACTATAAAAGCCAAAGTTTGTACCTTATGATGAATCTTGAGCATATCATAGCTAAAATAAAAAGCAACTTTCACATAAAATAGATTAAAATAAGGAGGAACAAACCAGCAACTGTTAACTCTTTGTATCACATAGATGACATTCTCATTTTTCCTAGGGTTACTTATTCTAACTGTTCAGGTTCTGATTTTTTTCTTTTTATTATTCTTAGTTCTATTATACTCATCTAAAATTAAGATATAATTCTTCGTGTCTTTAGATGAAGTCAGGAGACATTTCTAGGCAAATCTATGAATCAGAGAAGTTCCTGGACTTGGAGCTCATTCTAAGAGGAATCAGTTGGTGTAATGACATGTAAAAACTATACTACTACATTATTTTGTACCTTTTAAAAATGTCTCTTAGCCCTGGCACATGGCCAAACTAGGGCTGTTCCAGCACAGACACCTCAGCCAGTCTTACAGCTTCTCATGAGAACTCCTTGCCAGGAGCTGTGACAGCTTGGTTACTCATGCTTGGAAGGTGCTAAGGTGCTGTAACAGAGTTGGTGTGAGGCTGGCAAGCAGCCCCAGCCCTGACAGGAGGAAGGGGAAGCATTTCTGCCATGCAGGTCAAGTTCTAGTTCTCTATTGTCCAAAGTGACTTGGCAATACAAGCTGATATTCAGGAGCTTCATTTTACATAGTGTTTAAATAACCCTTAAGTTTTGACACAAGAAGTGTTGAAATGTAAACTTTTCACGACTCTAGAGGCATGACAGCCTTAAATATGCTATGGTCTTCTCTCAAATACATGCCCATTGCCTTTGCAAGTAAGAGGCTCATACCCTACGTCTCCTCAAGAAGTCCATCTGTATGTGCTTCCCAGGGAAGACCAGCAAAGCTTCACTGAAAACATGGCCCCAAGAGGAAGACAACACCAAGGAGCATCTGAGAACATGACAAACACAGCTTCAGTTCTCATCTATTCTTGAAGTTACTAAAATACATAATTTTGCTATATCGGAGGAGTAGTCTTGCCCTCTAGCTACATTTTATGGATAAGTACTACTGATTTCTCAGTGGTTCCTTGATGAAGTATAGTACTTTGCATAAGTAACTATACACTCACACCAGTCTAGCTCCAGCGTTTTTAAGCATCACATCCCTCCAGTGAGCTGGCTTCAGCTTCCAAAGTGGAAGAAGTTACTTTTTTCATTTCTTATTTTAATTCTTGTCCTTGTCCCATAGAAAGGGTTAAGTTGCTATTTCTTGAAAGTGAAGAAAAAAACTGATTTTTTATCACCTCACTCATTCCTGCCCTTGACAGCAGGGCCAGACTGCTGTTGTGATCCCAGCTTTGCTATGGCTCTGCAAAGTACTACAGAGATATGCTTGTTGTGGCTGTGAACACCCCGACTTGGTGAAAGGGAAGCTGCTGCCTGTAGACACAGATCTTCTGCTCTTGTATTCACCTTGCCACACGAAACAACTGAGCAGTACCTGAAGCTTTGTCTGGTCTGAGAGTGTAGGAGTTGGAGAGAAGCCTCACTGGAAGGCAGCTGTCAGATCCAAGGCAGGAGAGCAGAAGAGTTTCAAGAGCCACCCCTGAACAGTGAGGTTTATCAGGACTGCCTAGGTGTGTGCAAAGTGTCTGTACATGATACACATGGGGCTCATCTTGTATTAGGAGCTGTGGTAAAGGATGTATTTAGAAGCACATTAATAAATTTCTTCAGACAGGAGATCAGAACAGTAGGTTTCTACATTTAAATTATATAGATTTGATATAGCATTCTGGACCTAAGTAGGGAGCAACTGAACTACCAAAGAAGCAACATAATAATGGTAACACTGCTCCGAGTGGTTTGAATTGATACATATATTGCTGCTTGTACCTTGAAACTGGCATTGTGATTCCTGTAAAAAGAAGACAGCACACCTCCAGAGCAGGATACTACATTTTTATGTAATTAATTCACTTTTACTTAAAATGGTATTATTAAATTCAACATTGCTCAATATTGTGACATAAACTGTGGTACATACTGAATAACCTATTTAAGAATAAATAGACCTAAATGTTTAGACTATCCTTGAAAGAACGTACACCTGAAGTTAGAAGTTACACAAGTATCTGAATCATCTGATTTCAAGTCAATAGAAAGAACCACAAAACTGAGTGACAGAATGAGCACAATCACTCTGAAAGAATAAAATGCAATAAACTGGAAATTTCACTTGAATCTACATACTTTTGGAAGACCATTTTGTTAGTCAGCACAGAAATCCCCTGATGAGATAAAATTTTTTTTCTTATTTTCAACACACAGAGAGGACAGCATTCACATTCAGCTACCATCAAAATTGGGTAAAGGGCTTGGAAAAAACCTCTACCAAACCCTGCAAAATTTGTAATGAAGCAAAATTAACACATTGCCAGACTAAATCACTATAAGCTTCCTCTCAACTGCTTCCTAAGGGACTGTTATGCATTTACAGGCATAATCTAGGGTAGAGAGTAAGATTAAGATACTTTCCAAACCACTGTGATTATGCTTATGATTATGAGTAGTATCAAAGCTACTCCCTGCCACTGGCAGGCAGGTTTGCTACCCTTCAGTGATAACAAAAATAAGACACATTCTGCTGCTGTGAGCACACTGTAACTCCTGCTGAATTTGGGCCAGTTCATAGAGAGGGCTCTCCAAAAATATGAACAGGCTGGAAATCCTAAGAGGGCACATTGGGTGCATTTTAAGAACGATTATCACTGTCTTCAGAACAGCTGATATTGCAGGATAGAGATAATGATTTACTATTAGGATTTAATTTTTCAAAGCTACGAGTGTTGGCTGAACATTTCTCCCATCGAATTCAGCACCATATTCTCCATTGATTTAAGTTGGAACACAGTCAAATCATTTTGAAAATTCCAAGACGACTTTTATTCTTTCATATAGCTAGGCATGCACATGCCATGAAGTAGTAATAAAATAAGGGGAAATGCAAGAGGAAATCCAACACTCTCCTATCATTTCCAGCTTCCCCTGACAAATTCCCACTGGAAAATGTTAATTTTTATGCCTTTCTTTCACCAGAGTGTGTGAACAAGATGGTTCACAGAAATGCATTTTGCCTTCCACCCCACCCCTGCTTGCTGTTCATTCATCTGTCAGGAGTGCCTGGGCACTAAGGGCCCCATGCCACCTGGTGAATTCTGGCTGAACTGGCATTGCTGCTCTGCCCTGCACCTAGGTCCCACTGCCTCAGCACCCCCTGATGGGCTCCACTCACCACTGAAATACTGGTGGGTTCAATGGGGCCAGAGAGCCCCTCAACCCATCACCTGCAAAGGTTTTAAACAGTTTCCTTGAAACATTCTCTGCTGTAGTTTCCAGGAACCATGACAGGGACAAAATCATGATATAATTCTTCGCATATACTTTTGAACAAACAAAATTGCAACAGCTGTCATTAGTGGGCCTTGGATAATACAAAAAGTCTGTGCTGATGATCTCTGCTTCTTCCCTAACAAAATCAACTCATATATATATTTTAAATTAATGACTGATGGATGATTTACAACATTCAACGTTGAGGTCTGGTTTTGTAAATGCTCAATGCAAACAATATACAAGGCTTTATGAAGAGCTAAAATTTTTCAGAGGAGGCCCTTGTCACCCAACTATAATGTTCAAAAGCAAGATTTTCAAAAGCCATTACTGCTAACAGATTCTGTAAAAAAGCTCTGGCAGAAATGCACATAAAATGGAGGACTGTGCCCAGGGACAACTGCTGCAGGCAGTGAAACTAAGAAGTATGATAGCCACAGCCAAATATACCTGTTGAATGTCTTCCCAGCTTCAACATTCGCAGGGCTCTGAGAAGTCTCAGCACTTGGACAATGCGCCCCACATTTTCCAGTTCTTGGGAGCTCTCACCACCACATAGGCTCTCCACCAGCAGGGTGATGTAGAAAGGCAAAATAGCAAGGAGGTCTATGATGTTTGCCACACTCCTTAGGAAGCGACACCGATCTCGTGCACAGAGGAGCCTCAGAACAAACTCTGCTGTGAACCATGCAATGCACAGGTACTCCAGGGCATCCAGCAGAGGTGGGGCCAGCCAGCTGAGCTCTACTGAAATCAATGCCATGTTGGCAATTGACACAACAACAAAAACCATGGACAAGGTACCAAAAGTCCTGGCTGCTGTAGAGGAGCCAGGCTTTTCCAAAACTTCCCAAAGTTTCTGTCTGACATTGGGACAGAGGCTACCAGAAAAATCCTCTTCTTCATCTTGGGCATCCAGTTCTTCTGCATCTTTCTTGATGTCTAAGGCTTCACTCAGCTCCTTCCTCCTGAAGTACCTGCCCAGGAACACCCCCAAGAGATTTTGAATACCAATAGGCAGATGCTCGTCTTATAATTTACCATGTAAGTCATAAGAATACACATTAAAATTTACCTTATGTGAACTCAGAAAACCCTAATATCAAGCATATGGCTTTTATTAATTGAGCCCCTGCAGCACGTTTCCACTGACTGATATACTTCTATTATCCCATTTCACATCAGTGACAAATTCTATATGCAGAGTAATGTTACTGATAGCAAATTATTTATATGGATCATGTTGACCACAGTAGGATCTGCTAAAGGACTAACATGAATTCTTAGAAGCAATTCTGGCACAACCAGATCCTCTGTTTTTAAACAGTTCTCAATTTGTTTAATTGTATGGAATTTTTATTACACTGGTCCATGTTTGCAATAGTAAAACTGAAGGCATAATAAAAGCCATGCTTTTGTGGATGAACTTCTGATCAATATACACTAAGATGACAAGGTATCTTTCTTTAGATATGTGGGCTCTCACACAAAGTGAACAAGCATTTGTACTGAGTAAAACTTACAGACTGTAAATAGTGTTTTACCATATTAAGAATATATTTAAAGTGGAATTTTGTGAAACATAAACATACTCAAAAGTGCACAAAAAAAATCCTTTTCTTTCATATCTTTCTTTTTGACTGCTGCAAAGCTCAAGACTTAGACAAAGGTGTTGCACAATTTTGCCTTCAATACAGTTAATCCTGCATATGTCAAAGAGGTCTGTAGCTCCATGTATAACTAAAGTAGTAAGGAACGTTCAGTTACAGCTACCAGAGAAAGAAGAAAGGGATGAAAACTAGGCTCCAATTTTCTCAGCTGAAGAACTGAACCATACTAGGGTAGGATAACCAATATCCTTTTTGGATGGTACTACTTCTTTCTTTCTAATAATTTCAACGTGACTGCTATAGCTAAATAGCAGTTACACTCTTTAGAACATTCATTTCTTCAATACTAAAAAACCCAAATCAGTAACATTGAATATGGTGGGAAAAATTAACTGCAAATAGAATTAACAGAGACATCCTGGGGGTGGTTCAGTCAAAATCCACCTCGTCCCTGAACTGCCTGTTATAATTTGTCTCCAGCGAGCCATGTTCCCGCTGCTGCTGCCCCCTCCCTGTAAGCTGCTACATCCACGTGCGATGCTTCCTTTCATGGCTCCTCCTGGAGCCATGCCACCCACACTCAGCCTGGCAGGTGACCAATCCCCCTTCTGCCTCTCCAGCTTGGATTTGGAAATCCTTCAAAATTAAAGTGCAGGTGGGCAGGATCCAAACCCTCCCAGCATTGTGCCTGACTTCATATCTAATCCCTCTATGATAACCTCAAACTGAATGATTGAAGGAGCATCTCTCTTTCCACTACCTTTTTCATCTCTGGCATTGTCCTTTTAAACATTTTGAGCTTCCAGGGCCAGTTTGAAGCCACTACAGGACATCCCAGACCCTGTTCCTGTATCACTGTCTTGAGCTCACCAGCAACCTTTCCCACAGCAAATGGTAACTGTGACCTCACCCAACACGTCTCCTATTTCTGACACCCATTCATTGCTAGAGCAGCACTCAGAGCTCAACTCACACAACTTTTCCTGCTACCTCACCTATCACCACTCACCTGAGTGTCCCTGAATGCAAGTCAATGCTGAACTCATCTAATCCACAATCCACAAGATGAGGAAGCCTCATCTTCCCACAACTCACCGGTCTCTGCAGCAGGAATCAATGCTGAGCTCATCCAAACCCCAGTACTGGATCTCTTGCAGGAAAGAGAGTGCACAAAGCTGTTCCATCACATGCAGCCTCCCTGTCTGGTAGTAATTCAGGATGTAGTGAAATGCCTGGGAGCTCCGGTCAAAGAAATACTCATTCTCCAGAAGGTTGGCATCATCACAGAGCTCAAGGAGGCCAGAAGCCACATCCCGTGCAGCAGAGACCACTACTGCCAGTTTGCCAAGACGGGTGTCAGGGTAGCAAGATAAAGTTTGCTGGGACATCACAAAACGGCTGCCTCCTACATTGATAGTAAAGCAGTCCAGAGAGGGAATGACCTTCTGGAGCAGGGGCCCCTGCTCTTCCTCACTGGAGAAAACACTGGACTCCAGCGAACCCAGGGATGTGCTACTCCCTGGTTCCTCCAAGGATGCTTGGGAAGAAAGAGACATGCAGCAGGGAGGCGACTTCATCCTGTAGCTGCCAGCAGCAGCCCACACTCTCCAAAATCAAAATCCAGGATCAAAATCTCAACACGGCTGCAGATAAGACTGCCGGGCCAGGCTCGGAATGTCGCCTCCGCCTACCGTCCCAGGGACACCGCCCCGTCCCCGCTGCCCCGGGCGGTGCCTGCAGCCGGGCGGGTCAGGCGGGTGTCACACAGCCCAGCGCCGCCCGCACCCGCCAGGATGCTGAAGGAGCCCCGGTACCTGAGGCGGCGTCACCTCGTGCTGTCCGCGCCGGCTCCATCCGCCCGCGACGGCCCCTCCGCTTCAGCGCTCATCTCCAGCCGCTGGGTCGGCGTACGGGAAACCCCCCGGGAGGACATAACACGGAACACTGGCTTCAGCGGCCACTCCGGGCAGCGCCCCGACAGTAGCCCGAGGGGCCGCTCTGCTGACCAGCCCGTCCCTGTCGTCCCGCTCCGCTCGCCCTCCGCCGGGGCAACCGCCGCGAACCGGGAGCCGGGGCAGGGCTGCCGCCCCCGGCCCGCCCGGCTGTACCGCCTCCAGCCCCAGCCCTAGCCCGCCTCACCTGCCCGCCGCTCAGCTGTGCCACTCCCAGCCCCAGCTCCGGCCCGCTTCACCTGCCCGCGTCCGGCTGTGCCGCCCCCGGCCCCAGCCCGAGCCCGAGCCCCGGCCCCGGCCCCAGCCCGAGCCCGAGCCCCGGCCCCGGCCCGCCTCACCTGCCCGCCGCCCGGCTGTGCCGCCCCCGGCCACCGCCCCCGGCCGGCTGTCGCCGCTCGCTCCCCCGGCTCCGAACCTCCGGGCAGCGCCAGCGCCTCTCCATGGCGGGTCATGTGCTGCGGGGGGCTGGCGGCAGCGGGGGGCGCGGGCTGGGCTGGGCTGGGCTGTGCCGGGCGGGGCCGCTCCCTCCCCTCCCCACCCCACCCCGGCCCGGTCCGGAGCGCCGGCAGCCGCAGGTGCGGCGGGGCTGCGGTGTGCCCGCACCCGGGGCTGCCTCCGGCACACACCGGCGCTTGCAAACTTCCCCGAGCCGGTTGGCGGGGCGGTTCGTAGCCGGCTCTCCACAGTGTGTGTAACCCCAAACGTGTCGCTAAGCAGATAAGGTGTCTTAGACACGGCTCGAGTCTAAAGTCACTCGCGTGAAGAAGTCACTGTAAAGGGCAATCGATGGGCGTGAACGAGCCTGTTTCAACCGAGCTGCACTCTGCCTGTTTTCAAAAATACTACGGAGTATCTTTGTTACCGTCCTCAGCTCAACAAGCCAAAAATTTAGTTCACCCTCATTATATTTCCTTTTCTCCTATGAAAGAGGTATTTCTAACAAATACTTGCTTTGGAAATTCATGTTTTCTGCTGCCTCTGACTCCTCGCGATAGTGGGCAGCTGCCGATATAGCAGTGGAGCCTCCCAGGAGGGGAAACTGTGGAGCGTGCAAAATGTGGCATTGTGTGTCATGCCACCAGCATCATGTGACGTCCCACCAGTTTTTCATCCCACATCACTTGCTGCATACAGCTGTGTACAGTTATGCATATTTCTAACTTTTATTTCGGAGAGGTCCCATAGAGTTTCATCTTTTGGGTACTGATAATCCGTATTTCAAATGAAGCTGAGCTGAGCATTTCCCATATTGCAGAATTGCAACACCCACAGCAACCTCTCTACTCAGCACTTGCTGGCATAGAAATCTGCTTAAGTGACTGTTGGCAAAAAATACACTGATCAGAGAGAATCCAATAGAGAATAGCAAGGGTGGGGTTTGGAAGTCGTGGCCCAGGAAGAAAACACAGTGGGATAGCAGCAGTGGAAGGGAGTGAGCATTGTGGTAGTCTGCAGACATGTAAAAGGCTGCTCACAGGGATAAAGATGATATAGTTTGTTCTCCTTGGATGAATTGGACGTGTGCAGAAGTAATGGAGTTGAACAACAGGAAGGATGTTTAGGGAAGCCATTAAGAAGACTTTGGAGAAGCTGTGGAAGAGATACATTTGTGTCTGTCGCAGGTCACCAGTGAGCTGGCTGGACAGGGATCTGTCGGGAAGAGCAGATATGTGGTGCTGCTTTTCCTGAGGTAATCTGGAAGGGTTGGATGAACTCGTGATAGCCCTTCCAGGTCTATAATGCTGTATTTGAAGTGTGTAATAAAGAAAAATACTTATTTTCATAGACATTTCCCTTTTTATTGTTTAAAACAATCAAATTAAAATGTAATTTATATGAATAAACACAAACTCGTGAATTAATTTTCCTTTGAAACTATCAACAGCTGCTGTTATGCAGCAGGCTTTCAGGAATTGTTCATTTTTAATCCAGGATTGCCACTCAGGAATGCAGTCCCTCTGATAGATAACACTTAAGCCAGCACTTAATTAAAAACAATAATTAAAAAAATAATTAAAACCATCAGTAAGACCAATTTAACAGCATCAATGAGAAGTACCTCAGAAGAGCAAGGTGCCTTACTGACTGTAATAGACCCCTAATTGTTCAGTCATTAAACGACTCAGTAGTCATTCTTTCCATCAGCCAGAAAAACTTTTTCAGGAATATTTTCTCCATTAGAAGTGAGATCTGAAAACACTCCCCTCCCATCATAATGATTCAAGGCATTACTTCAGATTCACTGGTGTTTTTAAGAACCTGGCTACTAGTTTTGACTTTGTCTAGTCAAAGGGAATGTCAAATGCCAAGCCTCATTAAAACTGTAGGTCATTTGTTCTTAAAATACTCTGATACATCATTTTCAGCACATGTATGACATGTAGTACCTTGAGAGAACGGCTTCATTTGTCTGTGTACTTATGTGCTTTATGGAATAATGACTGTATACAGGTATATTTATTTCACTTCAAACTTAATGTTTTTGTCTGATTATCAACTGTTCAGATCAGAGTGTTTTCTTCACAACACTAGAGGAAAGCCATATGTTAAGGATATGCTCTCCCTTAGTTTTGTACATTCTTCTATGCACTTCTCACTGCAGGAAAGTGACATCACCAATAAGATTCCATAGCGTCCACAACTTCCATACCGTGAACTCACATAATCGCAATTAGACAGGAGGTATGTGTATGATATAGCATCCTACTTCTGAGTGCTGTTTCTCTGCTCGTTGTAAATCTAGATTTTTATTAAAAAAAGGACTTTAAGAAAACTGCTCTGAAAATTATTTTCAAATGTAACAATAACATAAAGCTGGAGCATTTCAAAGAAATGAGAAAAATATTTTATGAGTAGAAAGGCTCAAAAAGAGAGGATTTATTTTTCTACTACTAGAGACAGAAGAAACAGGCAGTACTGGTGCATATTTCATTTTCGGGGGAGCTCTTAAAGGATTTGCTATTTTTCATTCCTGCTGAT